TTCTGGTTTCATAAAAAACTGTCCGGTTACAATTCTCATCAATTCAGGCAGTTCTCAAAATTTTGCTGATATTGGCTTAGTCAAAAGATTAAGAGGGCACGTGGATACTGGACACACTTTCAAAAAATTGCAAATGGTGGGAGAGTGGCTACAAAAGGTACCTTGGCTTTGACTATCGTAACGATTCAAGAATTTAGCTGCACTACAAATCTTTATGCAATACCTCTTGGTGGCTGTGAGGTAGTGTTTGGAGTTTAATGGCTTCAAACACTTGGTCCAATTCTATGGGATTTTGATAATCTCTATATGCAGTTCTCAAAGAGGTCTTGGATATTTTGCATCACCACTCCAGGGTCTTCTCTCACTCAAATTGAAAACATATCAGCCTTGCAAATGCAGAAACTTCTGCTACAAAAAAGTACAGTTGGGATAGTTCTTTACCATATGGATATTGAAATCTCCTAATTGCATATTGTGGAACACCTTATAGTGGATCAAAACACTAAGGGAGATCAACAATCTCAGCACCTTACTAAGCTGCAACAGCTGGAATTGCATGCACTATTGGAGGAATTTGAGGTATTGTTTTCAACCCCTAGCACCTTACCTCCAAGTAGAATTCATGATCACAAAATTCCCTTAATGGAGGGCAGCAAACCTCCAAATAGTAAACCTTATAGATATGGCCCTGTGCAAAAAACTGAAATTGAAAAATGTGTCCAAGAATTGTTACAAGCAGGTTTTATACAAGTTAGTAATAGCCCTTATTCATCTCCTATCATTTTAGTAAGAAAGAAAGAGGGAACTTGGAGGATGTGTATGGACTATAGCGGTCTTAATTGGATCACTATAAAGGATAAATTCTCATTTCCTCTTATTGATGAACTTTTGGATGAACTGTTTAGTGCTCGTTACTTTTCTAAGTTGGATTTAAGGGTTGGTTACCATCAAATAAGGATGCATCCTAATGATGTGGAGAAAACAACTTTTAGAACACATGATGGTCACTATGAATTTTGGTAATGTCATTTGGTTTAACTAATGCACCTGCTACATTCCAATGTTTGATGAATGAAGTCTTTGAACCCTATCTCAGAAAGTTCATATTAGTCTTTTTTGATGATATATTGGTGTATAGTTCCACTTGGGAATCTCATTTGCATCACTTGAGATTAATGTTTGAAATTCTGCAAAGTCACATTTTATTTGTCAAGAAATCCAAATGTGCATTTGGTAGAGATAAGGTGGAGTATCACATTGTGTCCAAGGAAGGTGTAGCTGCAGATCCTACCAAACTAAAGTCTATTGCTAAGTGGCCTATTCCCAATTCTATTAAAGCTCTAAGAGGATTTTTGGGTTTAACTGGGCATTACAGAAAGTTTATTCCTCAATTTGGCAAGATCATTGGTCCATTGACTACTTTAACCAAGAAGGATAGTTTTAAATGGAATGATGAAACTACAAGGGCATTTCATACTCTTAAAGAGGCTATATTGTTTCCACAAGTTTTGGCTTTACCTGATTTTAGCAAGCATTTCATCATTGAAAATGATGCTTCTGGGCAAGGAATAGGTGCAGTATTGCAACAAGGTGGCAAGCCTATTGCTTTTACAAGCAAGGCTTTGTGTCCGGAATCAAGCTCTCTCAACCTATGAAAGAGAGATGCTAGCTATCATTCATGCAATTCAAAAATATCATTCTTATCTGGTGGGTAATCATTTCATAATTCAAACTGATCATCACAGTTTGAAATATTTTTTTCAAGGAAGAGCTCATACCTCTTTCCAACAGAAATGGGTGACTATGCTCATGGAATTCGATTATGAAATTCAATACAAACAAGGGTGTGAAAATCAAGCTGCTGATGCCTTGTCTCGAAGTCCATTAGTGACTGATCTCTCATTAATTCAGGATTGTAGTACAGTGGAGTGTTTAGCCATATCATATCCTTATTCAACTTGGATTGATGATCCTAGGAGAAACATTGAAAAAAATACTTGGATTATAGAGAAGACTCAGAAGGTGATGGCAACTTCATCTGAGTTAGCACCCATTGGAAATCTCAGATTTCAGGTTGACAATGGGTGAAGTAAAAGGGTTGAATTGTTCTTAGTCCACTCAGTTCTTGGAGAGCAAAAGTATTTAAGGAGCATCATGCTTCCCCAACTGCCGGACATGAGGGATTCCTGAAAACTTATAAAAGAATTTCCAAATCTTTCTACTCGGAAGGTATGAAAAAGGACATTAAAGATATGGTAGCTTCTTGCACAATTTGTCAGCAACACAAGTATGAGATACTTTCTCCCTCTGGTTATCTGCAGCCTTTACCTATTCCTTCTCAGGTTTGGATTCATATATCAATGGATTTCATTGTTGGACTTTCTCCATACAAGGGCAAAACTGTTATTTGGGTGGTTGTGGATCGACTATCCGAAGTATGCACATTTCTTGGCATTATCCCATCCTTTTACAGCTTCTATGATTGCTCAACTCTTTGTTGACAATATTTTCAAGCTACATGGAATGCCAAACTCCATTGTCAATGATAGGGATCCTATTTTTGAGCAAGTTTTGGAAGGAGTTCTTTGCATTACAAGGATCCACCTTACGCTACAGTTCTGGTCATCACCCACAAACAGAAGGGCAAATTGAAGTCTTGAATCGATGTTTGGAAACCTATCCTAAGTGTTTTTTTAGCTTGCAACCTAAGAAATGGGGTTTATGGCTGCCATGGGCTGAATGGAGCTATAATACAAGTTATGATACTGCCACTAAACTTACACCATATGAGATAGTGTGTGGTCAACCACCTCCAAATTGTCTCTTCTTATGCACCTGGCACAACCAAGGTAGAATTTGTGGACCAGCGTTTGCAGGAAAGAACCAAGATGTTATCTTTATTGAAATCAAACTTGGAAGTTGCTCAGTGTCGAATGAAAGTCCAATATGATAAGAAAAGGAAAGAAGGAACTTTTGAAGTAGGACATTGGGTTTATTTGAGGTTAGTTCTTTATCAGTATATGTCCTTGGCTTCACATTCTTTCCACAAGCTCCAACCTCGATTTTATGGTCCATTTGAAGTTTTGGCAAAAGTAGGACTAGTAGCTTATAAGTTGAAGCTTCCAGAGACATGTAAACTGCATCCAGTTTTCCATGTCTCTTGTTTAAATAAACATTTGGGTATTCAAATTCAACCAACTATGCCTTTGCCAGTTATCACGGATTCAGGGGTTTTACAAGAGGTTCCAGTTGCTATTTTGGACCGCAGACTAGTTAAAAAGGGTCATGCTGCTGCTACATAAGTGTTGGTGCAATGGCAACATCATGCTAAGGAGGATGCTACTTGGGAGCTCTATCAAGGTTTGAAGACCAAGTTTCCAGAAGTAGCTAGTATGCGATAGTGTTAACCTTCATTTATTTTTCATACCAGTAAACAGTTTCTTTTGTTTTCTGTTGCTTCATTGTAATAAGTGGGCTTTCAAGCGGGGGGATTGTTAGGATGCCAAGTGGCATCATCGCAATATGCAAATGGACGGTCAAGATGGCAGATTATTAGCTGATACGGTTAGTTTGTTAGTAGTTGTTGGAAGGTAGCTTCGTGAGTAGGCGGTTATGTTGTAATTGTTGATTGGTCAATATGAGAAATTACCATACAATTGTGAAGAAGTAGAGGAAGGGTTCTAATGCTAGCACATTTGAAGGTGAAATATCAATCAAGGCATCTTAGGCAAAGCATGATAAGCTAAAAGTGATTTCTAAAGGTGTGAATAACTGTAAGAATAGGGGAGAAAATAGATAAGATGAACATGCAGAAATAAATAAAGTTGGTAGAGATATTTATGAACAAGACTGGGAAAGAGAAGAAAATTAAGCATTGGGACTTGAGGAAAATAAAATGCTTTGATTTTGGGTTTTTAATTTTTCAAATGGGTGTAAAGATAAATTTACATATTGAATTGGGTTTGTGAGGGTATTTAAGGTAGTAAATTTGGGTTTAAAGAGACATTGATAGTTCAGTTAAAAACCAAATGCGTGCAAAGAGTAAATTGGGTATAGAAAGAGGTTACATGGGTTTAAATAAAATTTCCCTTTATATTTCTAGTAGAGGCTAGATATACCAGTAGATGCTAGCATAATACAAGTAGATGTCTGTGTACATGATTGTGCTTGTACTAGTAGATGCTAGTATTTATTGATGTTCTATTGGTATGATTTCTTATTTGGAACTGATTGTGCTATTTTTTTCTAAACTATATATTGTAATAGATACTACTATGCAGTTTTCAATCTATGTTGAATTTTTTAACTAGATAAATGATTATGATCCACTCACATTTTGTTTTTTACCTCATCGGGACCTTGTGAGACCAAGGCGGTGTTTGTGGACGAGTGGGCTTGGCAATAGTGCATTCCTCCTACCTCGCAGGGTGATCAAACTTCTGCCTTTTATCTACTTGTAATAATAATGCATAATCAGACTGTAGATTATACAATGCACATCACATTCTATTTTGTGGTGATTGTTGCAAGCACTACTGCAATGCCCTCAACATGATGTGATAATAATAGGGTTGAACCCTAATGCGTCCCCAAGTGAGGAGATTGAAGTGGGATTTTGCAAGATAATTTCAGTACTTAATAAAACTGAGCTTTTTAGTTCAAATTCATTCACATCTTTAATTTAGTACCTATAGCTTCGTTATCATTTTGGTGATGGCCAACACATCTCTACCTCTAGTTATCGAGGTTGGAGTGTCTTATGGTTGTTTTTTTATTTTTTTGGTTTTATTTACCTATAGACTTCTTATTCAATTATTTCTTTTTTTTACCGGTCTACTCGCGTGCACTCACTTATAGATTTTAGATTTTAACTTTCGAAATTTTTCGAGTTAAAATCTTCAAAACTGCATACTAATTTTATTTTATAAATATAGTAACCAGTTCAACCACAAAACTAGAAGCTTTGTTCAAAAAAACACCAACCAAACAAGAAGAAGCTCAAACATTTGGTAGAACAACCAACCTGTTTATTCATTTTTCTTTCTCCCACCGTAACTTACAAAGTTTATTCTCACAGTACACCAATAAATTGAAAAGGGAGATATCGAAGGAGACGAGAACAAAATTGAGTTAGGGCGACTTAAATACAGTAATACGCTTCGTAATACTCTGTATTTATTGGCAGTAGCGTCTACTATGGATTGTCAGCTGCAATTTTAACAAACCTATCATAACAAAACTCGGCTCTGCTTGCTCTTCAAGCATACATTACATACGTTGCGGGATGATCCCCGAGTATATGTGTATAGCAAGCATCTAATTTATCTTCTCTCTGTTGAATCCATGGGTACTCTATCAAGAAGTTGCTCAAAACTTATAATTTAAACCAAAGAAGCGTAAGCAGTTATGATGCCATTTTTATCTGTATTTGCCGATGGACATGCACCAGAAATTCAACGTAGGAGGGGCCATTCGGACTCTGGTCTTCGACCATATATGAGAAAAACAATGTTCCTGTGAGGAAAGATAATTCAGTACTCAATCAAAACCAAGTATTCAGATATCCGGCCGGGTTCTTTTTCAAAAACAAGTTTAACCTTAGTTCTCTACATCTGATTTCTGAAGCGTTACTTAAATACTAAATTCAGTTATATATGTAATATTATATCCTAGTAGAAATCTAAGACACTCACCTGATGGATCTCCTTTCTTACATAATTTTAAGCTGCACAAAGAAAGAGATGAATTAGGAATCATTTCTTTGGACGAAAACATCAAAAACTGAATTCAAATGCTGCAATTTATTTCTTCCTTACGAACAAGGAATCCCTAACGAAAAACAATATCAGTCGTACCGAAGGTAGGAACATCTCTGGCGCCGTATTTCATTTACCGCATCATTCAGCTTCTTTGATAATGGATTATCATACTGCTGTAGCACAAACTGCGAGAAAGAGTCCAAGAGAAAGAATTCAACTCATGCACCCTCAAATATCAAAATCTCAAAAGATCAAATGCCATACAATTTAAGTTATAAAAAGAATAAAAATTGATCAACAATGAATTAAGGCTCATAAAGAAAATGAATTAAGCACCCAGCCCTCTCATTCTAGTGAACCGAAACAGGTCCCAAGAGAAAAAGTTCAGAATTATAATTTAAAATTAAGTCAGGCAGAAAATAAGAAACCAAAAGGGTAAATGATAAGGCTACCTGTGTGGGAAGTTCATCAGCAGAGGTGATTCCAAACAGTTGTTGCAAAATTCCAGAATCCACCAAATTCCCAATATATATTAAACAGTCGTCACCATTCTCGAGAAGATAAATTCCCTCGTTACGCACGTGTTCGCTAGAAAGCGGAATCACCGGAGGTATTAGAGAATCATCTCCCTCCTGTACATTAATGAAAGCTACCAGTGAATATAAAACGCATATCACAAAGAGTTGAACAAGAAGTTAAATGACACACCCTTTTGGATTCAAGGTCATGAATAGCCATCATTCTCGGGTACACTAGTGGTACAGCCAAAGGAACCGAAAGGGAAGAAACATGGTTGATCCAGAAGGATCGCTCATCTATTTTTCCATCAGTTCGTAGCCCCACACTTTTGATTAATGCTGAAAAAGGAACTTATTTATCAATATATGTACAAAATCTCTAAGAAGCTGAGTGATGATTCTGTGTGATATATTCCAATGGAAGAGGCATTTTTATAACATTTTATCATACCAAGGGTGTATAAAGGCAAAATACATTATTATAATTCATTTTAGATATATTTAAGCAACAGAACAAATTCATATTAGCTAGTAATTAATAAATAAGCAGAAAATAATATACCAAGGGTGTATAGAGGCAGGAGCTTCAGTGCCTCCGGTAAAATAAGCTGTCCAGAAGATGATACAGTAGCACAAAATTTACGATATGAAAGCAGACTACTAATGCACAGATTTGTCACTTGTTCCCGTACATGCAAGAGGTGACTTGAAGGAATTTCATTTGCCGCTATACACAATTTTAAAAATGCCTTATTGTCAGAATTCATCGAAATTCAATTAGAAAGAATGTACTAACAAACTGCAATCCTGATGGACAATATATTGGCAGGATGCAGCAAGTGAAAAGGAATGAGAAGAAAGAGAATTATACATCTGCATTTCAAATTACCAGATGTGAATAATGAAAGAGAGAAGTTAAAGACAGTGTTTTCATAATAAAATTCACAAATTTAAGTGCCTGCGTTTAATTGAGAAATCTATAATTACAATTGGGAAAATGAGCATAAAGAAAAGAAAGCAACAAAGAAGAACAGCATATAATTGAATACCTTGCTTCATGAAACATGCAAATTGAGTGTCCAAATCAGCAGCGCGGAACAGATTACTTAGCATACTAGTGCATGGCAGAGATAAAGTTGCAACTCGAATTCTCCGTTGGCCATACACAGTTGTGTATAAAACGGCACACTGGATAATGAAAATATTAAAATTAATTTATAATGAAGTATATAAATATATAAATGACTAAACAATGAAACATTCAGTTGCAGAGATAGGTGGCGTCATAACTTAAGCTGTAAAGATTCAAGAAACAGCTCAATATATTATTCACCACTACTGCATTTGGTAAGGGAGCAGAAAAATTAAAATTTACCTGGAAACCACATTCTGAGCCATCCTGTAATTTATCATCATGTTTTAAGGTCACCATAATAGTTTTGTCACAGTCAATCTGCATGATAGAAAGGATTGGTCATGATTTCAACAAAAAATATAAGAGCCACTGTCACTCTTTTCAAGGCATAATAAAAAAAAAAAAGGAAAAGGAGATGTAGAGAGACTGAGGAGAACGAAACCAGAAAACTGAAAACAGACAAAGGAGCTATGATTAAGCAGCAAGACTAATTTTCTTTCATACACCAAAATCTTTATTTACTGTCATTGTCGGTCAACGCAACCAGGGGTTGGGGGGATTTTTACTTCCATGGAAGATATATGATAAGTCAGAAAAAATAGTCTGATGTGTTGGTAATAAGGGAATTCATAGAATATGTACAGACCCCGGGTAGGTCAACATCCGTAGGAATACGTTTGCAAAAGCTTCCATGGTACTCTTGAACTTGAATACCCTGAAAATGATGAACATAAACTTATCCTACAAGAATAATCAATTGAAAGAACGATAACCAATCATCAGCTAATACAAGAGAAAGAGGTGTTCAATGAAACTTACCTGGCTGCATCTTACACGCATCACCGCCTCAAAACCTTGAGGCCTTGTGACATTCCATCTAAGATCGTTGTAGAGCTTTGCAGGATCAGAGACAGCTGAGAAGGGGTAGTAATAGTAAAGCTGGAACGATAACCAATATGGTTAGATGTCTATGCATAAATTATCTATAGTTACAAGTGGTAGATGCTTCTCAAATCTGATATCATGAATTTATTATAAATGGTGGATATGTAAATTAAGAAATAACAAAAAGATGAAAAAAAATAGAAAAGTCATAAGAGAAAATCCTCAACAAAGATCATAACAGGTAGAAATTTGACGGCAGATGTATGTGAAGTGATAGAAGAATGTTCATTAGTACCTGCCCTCCAGTTGTTCTTGGGATAACAGAGATAGAAGCAATGTCTATGTATGACTGAGTAGTGATAAACAAGTCAACACAAACCTGGAACATTTCATGGAAAAAAAAAGTGTACAATAAATTATGCTCAACTTCTTAATTACCACTAATAATCTCAGTCAGTATAGAAATCACATAAATATGTTAACTGATCATTAGAGGGAAAGAAATTAGTAAAAGGCTTACTTGATATTCAGCAAACTCAATTGCCATTGTCTTTAAAGTTTTGTCAGCTGGTTGGAGTAATTTATGGGCCTCCTGGAATGCATTTAAAGTTAAACAAATAAAAACATAATACCAAGCCTACCAAGACAATCCAATGAACCGACTGCTCATCAGATAGTATGATTCAATGGATGATAGATATGGACACCTAGCATATGCAAATCAACTCTAGCACAGTACACAAAGGCCTGATGTCAATTTCTTTTGTAATAATTATCCTAAGTCCATCTACATGGCCACCTAGTTTGCCAAATCTTCAAGAGGGTTCAAAAATTTGAGATAAGTTCTTATTCCTATTAACGGAATATATGTAATCAAAAAGCAAGATCATATAAGCGGGAACAATATCAAAAGAAAGTGAGACCTAAGGCAAAAGTTGCACATGAGGGCTTCCTATTTTAATATGCCAACATGAATTACAAAAATAATTTTTGTAAATAATCGTTTATTGTGTTTCTCATCTTTTTAGATATGGAATTATGAATTAACTTTCCTTTCAACTTTCCTTTTCAAATTATTGTAACGTATTTCATAATGAGAGATAATGGAGCAAGAATTCACTTAAGAGATAACCGTGTCCTAAAAGAAAAGACCAGCGTGGACTTTCATAAGGTAGTAGGCATTTGGCTATTGGGCTTTTCATAACCATGACTTCAATTCCTATATAATTTCTTTTTTTTTTGTGACCTCAAGGATGTGATGAGCTTTTTTCTTAATAGTAACTGCATTACAGGACGACAGCTCTAAAGCACACAAACGGCATACAATGACACAAAGAGGGTATTCGTACCTTCTCAGCTGAGGATATATTTGCTCTTCCTTCGGCCTCTCTAGCAGAGAGCGCTCCAATTCCAGTTGATGCCAACACTGCAGACAACATAAACATTAGTATACTCTGGGATGGCAATAAACCAGGTATGTCCTGTAAAAGTAAAAGAAGATGCCAAATGTGAAAATGAATATGCATACAAATTCTTTACCAGATTTCACAAAAAAAATGTCTATAAAAGGTATCCAGGATAAATTAATGATACAAGTGAAAATATCTCTTAGTCATTTAGCTGGAATTCAAGTTGACTGAAAACTGATAACATGAAATCAATAAATTACCCCAACGAAAAATCTTACATGATAACTGGGAACATCAACAAAATATCTGTTCTGGGTTACTTTTTTCATTCCTGACTAGATAGGTTGTTTATCTTTATAAAATAAGAATAAGGCAATAACAGTGACTGAAACTACACTAAACAAATATGCATCTTCCAAAACTTCTCTTATGAAACTACTAATGTTTATGTGATTCTCAACTGTCTCTTAAGATCCTTTAACAGATCTCAGTCCTTTGTTTTGTCTATGCTATGAAGCCATGCAGCCTCAAGCACGTTGTTTTTCATTCTTTGCTTGCAATAATATGTGAAAGTGTTTATAAAGGAAAAGGAAAACATAGAGGATGCACCATCAGTAGATAAATGGATAACAGCTTGCCTGACTGAAACACCAAAAGTTTCCCTCCAGTACTCTTAATTGCCAAGAAAGCAGCCTAGGCAAGGAAGAAAACAAAAATGAATAATGAAGCGATAAATTTAAACATCAATATGTATAAAAAGAAAAATAGTGCAAATCATAGAGATTATTGATTCTGTTGCTAGACTATGCCACAAAAGCAAAAAATGAGCAGAGATTATTGATTCTGTTCATTGAAGTGTTACGTACAATAATTTCAGAATCATGGAGAGATTTAGATCTATTTATGTTATAATACAATTCTTCCATAAACAACTCAAAATACAAATAATATTATTAACCATGTTATAGGCTTGATGCATTTTACTCACACAATGGTAGCTAGTAGACATTCACCTCTCCCAGACCCTGAATATAGCGGGAGCCTTGTGCACTGGGTACGACATTTTTTTTTTTTTTTTAATGGTAGCTAGTAGAGAAAGCCGAGAGTTTGACCACCTATATAAATGCAGCATGGCGGATTAATGCCTTTAGGTCTAGTGTTCAATGACCAGCAGAAAAGAGAGTTGTCATTTTTAACACTAATGACAGGTTTAACAGCTCAAATAACAGGTTAACTACACGTGTTGGTTTGACAATTATTCAAACAGTCAAGACTCCAAACTACGTTTTGACTGAAATCAATCTAAGAAGGGTGTTTAGACAGGAAGTAAAGCCAATTGATAGCCAAACCAGTCAGAAGGACATATGACACCAGCTCCATTCATCTCTCCTCAAAGCTTGTCATGCATTACAACATATTGATTGGCATATTCACCACAAAATGAGGAACAATGAGAAAGTTGATCAGTATTTAGCAAGAACAAAACTTTGATCCAGTCAGCTTTCAAGGTCATGGAAGCATCTACACCTATAGGATTTTCGACTACTTTTATTTAATAAATATTATTCCAAAAATCTCTTAGACTTTACATGCAAAAGAATGAGTTTAGATTAATTATCAGGATTTTTTGGCTCATCATATTAATTCTTATGAGTATATTCTTTGCCTTAAGTTATTCAACTATAGTACTATACAAGCATCAAATATCTTCTTTCCTTTCTCATTATACTCAGCTTCAGACAAAAGAACTTAAGAAGAGCCAGATGAACAAAAATGACATGCTCAATCCACTCATAGTAGTTGTATAAAGCTTCATAGTGTCAACATCAAGCATATTATGTACAGCACCATCTACTCAATGCATGTTTCATGAATTCATATCCATTTGCACCTGATGTTCTGTATTTTCAAATGGAGTAGCAAACCGCAACCCCCATAAATAGTTCAGTACATATAGCAGTGTCACACTATACAACATACCTTGATTGCCGCACCAAAGGCTGATTCAGCAGTTTTACCGTTTTGAAACATGGTTGGAATACTTTCCAACAATTGCTGCAAATGTTGGCGGCACTAAGAATTCACAACAACAAAACAATCTAAATTTAATAAGAGGCGTGTAGAAATTTAATAATTAAGATGCCAAAATGTCATATGGCTAATTGTTGTTAAATCAACACTTCAAAGACTTTGCACAACTATTCAATACATTTCACGAAAGGAAAAAAATAACAGCTGCTGACCTCGGAAAGCTGGACCACTACATCAGTCTCCAGAGGAGTGTAAACATCTTGCACATCAGGAACAATAAGCATCAAAGGCTGCAAACACATATTGGATCTCAGTGTGAAACCTTTTAAAATAATTGTTTGACAAAAATAGAAATCAGGGCCATAAAAATTAATGGTTATATAGCCAAAGCTTATAGCAAAAGGAATATAATTCAAACAGTTAAACTCAGATGGTTAGAAAAAGAAGAAAAGGAAAACAATTTGGCTACAAATCAGAAATGGAAAAATTAAAGTGATGATTGAGTATATTAGCAGAAATTTTCCCACCCTTTCATCTACTCACTGAAACTTTAAAAGGCAAGCTCTATGACCAGTATACCTAGAACTTGTCATCAACTTTCTCTAGGCATAAGAAAATTGATTCTAAGACAGAGAATTCCAACTACACAGAATATGATAGGTGTAAAGCAACACATCATTTATTGTAAAGAAAGCATCCGAGTATTACTCACAAGAAAATCTATAGTTTTCTCATCACTCTTCTTTCGCTCTGATTTTACTACCTTAGAATTTGACCATGTTTCAATTTTCTCCTTGAGCACCTTCCATCCTACCAAATCTTTGGTCGATAGTGTATGTGCTTCTGTTGATGCGTGGTTCACTTTTGATTAAAAATCTACTAGTTCATACACATGCTGGTTCTTTTAATATTTTCACCTACATATATAGGCACTCTGAGATGAAACTGGCACTAAGTACAATATTCACTCAACCGAAAAAGAAAGAATAGATACATCCCCAAAGTATTCAAATTCATTCATTGGAAAAACCCCGTCAATTCCTATAGTCTACTCATGAATGCAACAAGTTCAAAAACCCAACCTGTCTAAAAGCATAAAACCAACATCAAGGTCCTGCACCTCTGTGGTATAAAACTATAAATTTCAATTTTCATGTATCACCTATAGTGCATAGTATAGTGGACATTCCAAATTACAGTGTCATTTATTCGTCACAAAGGCAACATGTCGAAAATGAAGGCATCAAAAGTCACATTTAATTTCATACACAGAGAAGTAAGAAGCACGCAGATTTTTAATTTTTATGCAAATAATTTGTCGGTTTCACAAGACTGCATATGTATCAGAATTCATTCTATATATAATAAATGAATAACTAAAAGAAACAACGACAAAAAGACAACTTATATTGACCTGCTGCAGTGCACGTTTCAAATTGTAAAAATGGATCGTTGAGTCAAATGTTGCAATTCCACCATTGTCCGAGGACCTTCCTGCAATAACAAATACATCAACCCCTGACTCATCTAAATTTCTCACTGATATTGTTTCAATAAATGTATGACCAATGAATGCAGGCCTTGAGAAAATGAACTGAGCAACTATGCAGCAGACACAAAGATACATATAGCTTGTTAAAACTGTTGTACTTTTATGCGCAAACGGAAGCAAATTCTAACAAAGTACCAATATCAACGTCGTAGGTGAAAGCTAAAACATACAATCTCAAACTAACACAAGACATTTACGTGGTTCGGCGTAAAGCCTACGTCCACAAGCAAAGCATGGCGAGGAATTTCACTAAACAAACAGAGATTGCAAAAGAGTTTAAACTCTCACAACCCAAATCCCATAAATTACAAACCCTAAACCAAACAAGTAGAGAACTCAAACAAACAGAGAAGATTCTCCCAAATTGCTCTCTAACTCACACACTCACAAATTGACTCTCACCAAATTGCCACACAAATGAGCCACATCAAAATACACCAACCCTAAGGTCCTATTTATAGTGCATAGGACTTAGGTTACAATAAGATTCCTAATAGGAAGTAAATCCAAATCCTAATTAAATAAGTAATTAACAAAATCTCTCCACCAAGGAAACCAACTAAGAAGTCAAAATCCAAACCCAAATGGGACACCAAAACCAAATAGGTAACACAAACCTAATTTTTTGCATCATCCTAATTTTGAGCCGTAAAACCCAACAAAAACAAGGCTGAGGTCATTAAGAATGAAAATGTGCATGCAAATGAGGACATAAGTAAATGAACTCTAGCTAATATTTACTCATCACCATTATATCCTTTGCCTTTTCCATAGTCTAAAGAGATTGGCTGGGCACATGAATTCTCATCAATATTAGGAACATATTAGTAAATAGCTATTGAGGTAAACCAAAATTTTTGCCAATTTAGTGCACAGCCCATCAATAAAAAATGCGACTTAATAAACAACGAAACAATATAATTCGAAACTCAAGGACAACAAAAGCTACTAGGGAGGATATCTCTTTGGAATTTCTAGCAAAAACAGATATGAGATACGTAAATGCACTGCTCATAATAAACTCTTGCACGATCTTATTAGACATGTTTAGTCTTATCCTTTCAGAATTTCAGAAGAGAATGGAAGAAAATTTGTAATCATTGAAGTTCAAGAATTGCAAAGCTGCAAACCTTCTCACAAGCTTAACAATGAGACTAAATAGGCAGGAAAAGTTTAAGTTTTCTCATTCTATAGTTAGAAAGGATTCATGCTTTCCATCATACTCATCAATGTTCTATTTGCTCAATTCAGCCTTATTCACAAATGTCGGGTTTGGCATCATGGATCCTGTCTAAAATTTCATAAATATATGACACTCACAAAATTAAGAAAACTTTATATTGTTCTGATGCGTCTCTTTCTCCGCTTAGACTTAAATATAATGAACTTCACTGCATACGCCCCATTTTTCAAAAAAAAAAAAAAAAAAAAAAAAAAAAAAATAATGCCACAGCACGATCACATGCTGTAAGAATAGTAAAGCAGGAACATTATGCCTATAGACAAAATAACTCACCGGAAGATCAGCAATAACTTGACTGAGTGCACTGCAAGCTGCAGCTGTTGCACCAGTTTGAATGGCATTCATGGATACATCAATGAGGAAGAAGTACACAGCTGGCATGGGATCACGTACCTGAGTTACAAAAGCCAAATAATTAAAGAACTGTAACTCTAGTCACTTATGCAAAATTAATTCAGTTGTTTAAAATCCTTTACCAAAATAAAAATGGGAACAAACTCTTCTAATTGGGGTTCAAAAGACATTTTAATATAGTGATACTGTCAACGAGCCAATACAGAAAAACTTCTGTTATGAAAAAAACCTGAATAAAAATGAAAAATAAAGTGAGAGAGAAAGAGAGAGAGAGGGTGAAAGTGTGGCTTTTATGGACTTTAAAAAGTCCATGAATGTGTTGGAAATATACGCAACCATTATTGGCAAGTGCCAACCATGCCAGGAAGGTCTTGCATTCTTTTGTTAAAATAGAAAGGAAAGGATGTATTTCTCAGCAACAAAACATGGTGATCTTACTTAAGTTATACTGCAGATATTACAATCAACTAACCATGTATTCTTTTGAAGCAACAAATTCAACTGTTCCTCTACATAGCTCAGGCCTCTCATCAGCATCTCTGCGTCTACCATCTGGACCAAGATTGCAGTGGTAGTCACGCGGAGTCTCATCGGTAAATCCTGCACAAGAAATGGCATACTCTGTAGGGTCACTGCTTTTGCATACAAACACCGTGCAGATTACACCTTAATCCATAGACCATAGTACAAACCGTCAAGATAGGAATGGTAAACATACTCTCAACAAGGTATTACTATTAGCTTATGGCCTAATAAAATATTCCAGAAACTTGAAAAGATGAAAAAAGAAAAACAAAACATGAAAAAATAACAGGACCAGTTTGAAGAAGCAAAAGAAACAAAAGCACTGCTTTAAACAAGTTTTGAGACCACCAAATTTGTCCTTCTACATGAACTGAAAGAAAAGGTCTCATACACAACGCCAAACTGAGAGAAATCTTCCTCACCACAAAGATTACAGATGAATTTCCTGCCCTGGTCAATGAACTTCATGAAAGGATTTATGTAGCCTTTGCAACGAGAGCATCGAACAGGACCACTTTCACCGAAATCCACAACCTAAAACAAAACGATTCAGGAGTAAAATTTATAGCTCGATGAAAATTCTGATTGTTTAATTGTTCAAGGTTTTGGTCATTTATATTTATAGAGAGACATTGTGCCTTTAGGAGAGGAAAAAGAATTGTGGAAGGTTTGTGTATTAGCTTCTTTTTTTTTTTTTTTCAGGTAGAAAGAAATACTTGAATTTACAAAGTGACTTGGGAGATGAGGCAGATCTATTGTGAGAAGAGTATTTTGGGTTTCTTCGTGGGTCTCAATATGTACAGGATATTCAATTTCACTCTCCATTGCAGATAAGGGAGCTGCATTTTCTGCATAATCAACAGTAATTAGAAGGACAGGACAGCTTTTTTCTTTTTTGTTTTATTGGTGGACTAATGTTCATTTCCATAGAATGATATTGAACCTTACTAATTCTATTCTAATAAAGCATTTGTGTATTTTTAGAACAGAAATGAATTCATGATTCACAAAGTGATTGATAAATTATCCCATTGTTAGAAGAAACAACTAAAGTTGGCCATGGTCTGATTTGGAAATCCAGAGCTTCCTCGAACGTGAAGGTTCTGTCCAGGCTGGTAGCTCAGGGTAAGGTGAAACTAATGATATGGTTCAAAAGGAAACCAATCAGCTCTTTATCACCTCGTTGGTGCATTTTGTGCAAGAAAATTACACACTGGTGGATCACCTTCCCCAACTGCCATAATGGGTCTTTGGTTCAAACTGTATAAGAAGGCTGATCTAAGCTGGGTTGTTCCTAGGCCAGCTTCTCTTTTCCATGAGAGAGCTATATGATGTTTTTCAAGGGCAAAATGGCTAGAGTTGTGTGAGGTTGTATCGTTCTTACTGTGCTCATGGTGGTCTCATGTAAAGAAATAAAGGGTATATGAATATTATGTCGGAGTGGGATTGAGGAGTCAAGGAATTTGAAGATTATATAGGCTAGAGTTGACCAGAGTTTAGACATAACTTTTTTTGACAAATAGTGGGCTAGAATAGTAGGTGCGGTGCTTTAGTTTTGCTTGGGAGTTGGGAGTGACATTTTTTGTTTGGCTTTTATGGTTTCATTTTCTTCTCTCTTATCAGTGGTTCTTGACCACTTTATGTTGCTTTATTGCCTAGTTTGCATCAAAATAGTATATTATATATATATAAATACTGTAATAGGAAAAGAGGAATCATTAAGTACTTGGATTGGTTCCTCATTTGGATGAGGAAGGGCAAAAGGTTCAACCAACAAAGCTAATGGCATTCCTGACGTCGTTAAAAGATCTGCAGTGCATGGTATCTGGTAAATTGACAAAAACATAATACCATTACTACACTTTTATTAAAAGGGAACAAACACCATAACTAACGGTCAATTCATGAAACTTAAACCCAAACCTGATTGATGGTGCACCTCATGTAACGTGGACTGCAATTCCCAGTGTCTCTGACAATATAATCAGTTGTAGCAGGCTTCAAAATATTAAGAGCAATCAGAAGAATAAATGATAGACAATATCCAGTTTTTCATCATGCTTAAACATACTTTGCAGCATTACAATGGAGTGAAATTACATACACAGAAAGAGGACAGTTTTTCACCATGTTTAAACATATTTTTGCAGCATTGATATGGGCAATTACAATAGAGTGAAATTACATACACAGAAAGAGGACAGTTTTTTCACCACGTTTAAACATACTTTGCAGCATTAATATGTGCAATTACAATGGAGTGAAATTACATACAGAGAAAGAGGAGAGAGTAAGAGAAGTCAAAAAGTATAAGGATATACAGCTAAAGCATATACTGTAATCAACAAAAATTCTTCAAGTTATGGATAAATAAATACCGGAGGTGGATTCGCCTGATTGCCCTGACGAGTTTCATGAATGAGCATCGATGAACTTGGTATAGGCCGAGGAATTTGAGTGGGATCAATCTTGGATGACCCAGCCAAAGGAGTACCAGTTTGACCAGCAGGTGAGATGGTAGTCATGGACTGATTTGGTAGTGGTGGGGGTGGCATTCCAAACATTCTAGGTGGTTGAGCAGAACCAGGAAATTGCAAAGGTGGAGCCACCTAACGACGTTCAGAACATTTCAGAAGCCAAATCAAGGTAAGAAGAAATGAATTCATGCATTCATCTTTTTTTCCTCTATCAGAATGCTACATTCTAGCGCATTTGCATAAGCATTGGTGGAAAGAAAAGAAATTGCTAATTGCATTTCCTAATAAATAAAAGGAAAAGCAAAAGAGAAGAAAACAATAGTATTCAAGGTTATAACTTATATTAGAACACCATGCTTGAACACACAAAATCATAAATTTTTAAAAGAACAATGTAGGAAATATCTAATATGATGCTTACAATGAATTTCAAAAAATATCATTTTAGGAGGATTGTGATTATACTTTTGTTTTATACAAGCTGTCAACAAAAACTTGAAAGCATCCGCTAGAAAGATGGTGCTTCACTTAAATAGAGGGCGGAAGATTGCGACGAATAGTGCACACAGTGGTGCAAACTAGTGTGCATTGATAAGCTCACACTTGTAGGCCACCAAGGCACGTTTTTCTTTGGCCAGCTAATAAGCGATAGTTTATATCATGTGTACTGAAGGCGGATAGACATCTATCTAGTTTCAGTCAACTTATATTGGTTTATGTTGTTCTTGCACGAAAACAAGTTTAACTTTCAATCACACTACTCATAAAATAAATAATAATTGCCAGTACATGTTGGCATTTTTTTGATATGAAATATACTAGCCTTTATAGTATGTTTCCACACTGGATTTTATCAGTTAACTCAAAAGTAATATGAAATTTGATATAACCATAAGAATTTCAAAACAATGTAAGTCCCTAACCTGCCCTTGTTGCACTGGCCATGTCTGTGAGCCATAGGGAGAGCCTGAAGCTGGTGGCCGCATGCTTTGAGGTGGAGCTGAAAATGGCGGGGCTGCCGACAATGGTGGTGGCTGCTGAACAGTAGGACCTGGTGGAGAACTAACTGCCGAACCACCCAGCACGGAGTGCATGGATGGGGTTCGTGGTGGACCCGCGGCTGGTGCTGGTGCCATTGCTGGTGGATGTCCAACAGGTGGTTGAGGTGCATTTCCACTGGGAGGGAAACGAGGTCCACCCGGCATAGCACCGTAACCAAACATTGGTGGCCCATTACTCAACATTCTACCCGGTGCAGTCGTAGGCGGCATGCTCTGAAGACCTGGGGGAGGACCTGATGCCGGACCAATTGGACCAATTGGTGGTGGCCCAGAAGCAGGAGCTACCCCGCCCACAGGGGGAAACGACCCAGGAGGCGGTCGAGACGGGAAAGATGAAGGCTGGCCAACCGGCGGCCCGGCGGGTCTTACTGGGGTGGTGGCTGGGGATAGTGTTGGTTGCGGGGGTCCCGATCGCGGTGCTGGTGCTGCGGGTCTTGCAAAGGCAGCCGGGGGAGGGCCGGGCCGAGAAAAAGGAGGTGGTGCAGAAGGAGCCCCGGCACCGGCAGGAGGGGCTGTTGAAGGAAAAGGGGGCTGTTGGCCGAAAGGGGATGGTCTAGGAGGGGCAGAATTAGGCATGGAAGGCGGCCGATTAAGATTCATATTCTGGATATTATCGGCTAATAAATCAGGGCGGGGCTGCATTCCGGATGGCACGATCCCAAACGGAGAGGAAACGCGATCTGGATAGTCCGTCTTAGCGATACGACTGTCGCCGCGGATTGGAGCCAAACGGAGAGATCTCTGGAGCTTGAGTTGAGCAGTTCAGCGGCTTTCAGTCGGCCTGTTTTGTTTTCCCTGCGCCTCTACTACGGCTTACGTTTCAAACTCATTTTGGTTTTGGTTTTCGTTTTTTTGTTATTAGAAACAGAATATTGTTGCGAGTCCAATTCTATTAGAGCATCCAATGGGGCTTTATCATCCTTGAGGCTACAATATTTTCAACCTTAGCAAGAAATTTCATCCTTAATAAGCCAGAAAATGAAGCTAAATTCACTAGTAGGGCTAGCAACTTTTTTTCTTGAGTAGCATAAAATCGAGCTACATTTAGCCCCAAAAAACAGTGGGTCTCACAAAAAAAGTAGCAACCAATATGAGCAAAATTCTATCATTCTCCCTCTACTTACGAATGCACTTATACTCTCCTTTTATTATTATTTTAATTCTTTTTTCTTACTTATTTTTCTTGCAATTTGGTTAATTAATGATAGTTTTAAATTTCATAAGAATTAAAATTTCAAATTGATTTAACCTTCATGGGCATTGATGGGTGAAATTTTCAAATAATTTTTTTCAAAATCATGATACTAATATATTAATTGGTACTAGATAAATTGTTGTGTTATACGTAAAAATCAAATTATTTCATAGGACGAAGTGTGGGTTTGTTTCTTTCAACAGATGAGATTGAGATAAGGGAATCTAATCCAACGAATGATTCATAAGTAATGAAATCTAACTTTGTCACAATTTGAACTTTTTAGGTTGAAGGGTTCATAAAAAAAATTAAGATAGCACGTCTAAAAATCAACTTAAGAAAAGCTAACACAAAAAAAAATTAAAAAAAATTAAAAAAAAACCGCTTAATCAAATTACTACATAAATAAATATATATAGTCCCATATAGAGTCCGAAAGATATAGCATTGGAAGAGATTCTTTTTTAAAGCCCCAAAGATTTATCAGAGCTCTAGAATGGACTATCCACCACTTTTTTCCAGCCCCATATAGAGCCCTCCACTAGGGATGCTCTTAGGATAATGGAAAATATTATTTGTTTAAGAACGTTTTACTTGGAAAACCGTTGGTCTTTTGGGTTAGAGTGAACTTAGACTTTGATAATGTCATCTTGTCTCCCTTTGTTCGGTTTTGTACCAAGTCTGGAATATTTCAAAAGAATTAGCTCATCTTAAGAATTACTCTGGTTGGATCAACGAGTCGAATATAACGTGATTAAGCAAATAATGGTTTGCTCAAGTGAGGCGTGGTGTGGAAGCTAGAAATTTATCAGTTTAGCATGAAAGAAGGAGTTTGCATGGTTACATGGTGTTGTAGGTTGGGTAATCTGGGTTGCTAGGATAGTAACAAGGCTTCTCCTCGATGAAAGCGTTGAAGGAAGATTAGGGAAAATTCTAAGCAACTTTAATGAAAAGCTCTCGGTACTGTTCATTTTAACGAAAAACCATATTTTCACTCTAAAAGTCAATCATGGTACTATTCACTTACAACACCTTTTTGTCATTTTCATTAAAACTCAAAGTTTTCAAGCCATTTTCATTAGTTTTCCTAACACACTTATTTCCAGGACCGCTGGATTCAGCATATAGCAGTGCAACATCAGACGGTAATATTCTACCACTTCCATATTGGTGCAAGACAAACAGGCGATGTTGGGCTCATGAAGTCTGCGCTATGCCTTCTTCCCGAGGCACTACTTTCCCAGGTCAGCTTCCTCAAGCGTTACTTCTGGTAATGTATCTCTTAGCTTTCGCGCATTGTTCCTCTATGTGAGCTAGGAAGGGAAAGTCAGTTTCTTTCTTCATTAAATGCATGCTTTGCTGGGTTTCAAAAGACTTTAAGGCTTCGAAGTGGATTCCTTCCTAACTAAGTTGCTTAGCTTGCTAGAGAAATGAGAAACTAAGTCTGCTCTCTCTTAAACTCACCTATGTGGACTTCAAAGGTTATGGGCTTGGATCTTTGGGCTGTCAAGCAGCCCAAAGTCTTCCATAATCTTAATTCCACATAAGCCCGATAAACTTACCATCAACATCACAATTCACTTAACAAGCCCCTGACATGTGACTTGAGCTTAATTTAGCATGATAAAGTTGTGTGTGACGAATACACATGGGTTTGCATAAGCATGGTGTAATTTACACCAGTGCATGGCTTAATTAATGTAACATGGCATGATTGTGAATATAATCCCTTATGGATTCTGCACCTTTGCATGTAGTTAGGCTTGGCTCGAGGTTCGTATAATAATTTGCCCTTCAAACTTAATTGGGCTTACATGTGACATTTTTGGGCCTCAACAAAGGCAAGTAATTTTATTTTTACTATAAATAAAGGCACAAATTGTGATAGTCCGTCCCGAAATATATTTTATCGATGGTGAAATGATTAAGGTGCCCTTGAACATTTGATGTTGTTGTGGGGTCTAAGCTTAGGATTTGGACCCATTTCTTTTATTCCTAAGTGTTTGGAACTTAAGTTATTTTCTTGTGTTTGGTTGGGGACCAATCTGGACCACACATACACCCACACACACATGAAGACTCTCTCTCTCTCTCTCTCTCTCTCTCTCTCCTTCTCTCTTAGCTTCCTTCCATTTTCCGTACAACCATACGTACCACTTCGAACCTAGCTCACTAATCACGGATCGAGGCTTTGAAGGTTGGTTTTGTGTTCCTTGCTAGATCCAGAGTTCATTCATGTTCCTAGTTCGACGTGAAAATCTCGTTTTCCCGAGAACCAGAGAACCTAGTTTTGGAGCAATGTTCATTCGATCGTGATCATGGATCTTCCAGTGAGTTTTATGACCTTAGGAAGCTTTAGAACATTTTCACGAAGCTCAGGGAAGAAATTTGAAGTGATTTGGACGTCGAGAAGCCCTGTTTTGGTGAGTTGCAGAGGTAGCCGGATTATCGTGTCTTTTCCGGCGAAATTTCGTGGATTTTAAGACCTAAAAGTGGTAAGGTTTTGTTCATCACATCCTAAGCTTCATTTTGGTATATAATTCATGAATTTTGGTTGAGAATCGAAGAATATATGAAGTATTAAAGACTTTTCCAGTTTCCGGCAATAGCAGCGGCACCGGTGCCAGACTCTGGCGAACCAAGGTTGAATGAGGAGAATATTCCGTCAAAGTTGACCGAATATGCTAACGTCGTCAGGTAATTATAATGGTATATGCTGATTTTTAACGGAATATTCCCTAACGCTGTTAGGGAATCCGTTTGGTGTGCTAGGCACGTGCCTGCGCGTAGACCGCGCGTCTGGCCGACGCGTGAGGACGCGTGGGTGCTCAGAAAATTTTTCTAAAAATATGGGGGTGTTCCTGAGGTTGAGTAGGTCTTAGTGGTATATTCAAATACCCCATTTGAGCAATGTGTGAGTAGTTATTTCCTAGTTTTGTGTATGTGCTTTAAATAACGTTTATATAGTTGTTTCGCATATAGGTGAGACCTATCCTGAGGACAAGGGCAGTCAAGCAAGGCTCGGGGGTTACGACCCTTCCGCATATCAGTGAGTGGGCTTTTGGTTTTCAGTATATACTTATATACTTGGTATTTTTCCCAGAAAATGCATTTAAATGAAATTATGTTTTGAAATGCCATGCATGTTGATTTATACTTAGAGTGTGAATTAGTATAGTATGCATAAATGTGATTTGACGCTGTGGATGCTTAAGTAAGTACCAGGTAAGTTGTAGATCGTTTATATGTGATTTGATGATGATGTGAGATGTGTTGAGAATTTATAACCTGCACCCCGGTGTTAGTGCTCCCGCCCGTGGCCAGGGCACAGGCCTTCACGTGATGTTCACCTCTCGCACTATACGATCACCTTAGATCCAAGTTAGGTGCACAATCTTGTTGTACAGACCACTATAGGTGGTTCTGACTCGTAAGTGACCTGTGATTATTCGCACAGTCTTCATGTGATCGTAGCACTAAAGCGTATTTATTTATTTACACTCAGTCTTGTCGTACAGACCACTTTAGGTGGTTCCGACTTGTGTGCAGGCATACTTGTTGAGCTATAGATTCAACCATACATGCCACTTTAGGTGGATCCGGCTGATATGTTATTTCACCTGAGTTACTTATTATGTTATTTTGAGATATTTGGCATAGCATACTTATGAATATCGTTTCTGAGCATGGTTTTGAGATGTGTGTGTGTGTATATATATATATATATGCATTCTATTTTCTGGGAAATTATACAGGTTTTACGGTGAGGGATTAGAACTTTTGTTAAATGAAATGTTTTGAAAAGCTTTGTTTTTGCCCACTCACACTTTCTGTTTTGTGCCCCTTTAGGTTTTAGTTAGGAGTAATTGTCGGTGGCTTATGAGGAATTCACGGCAGCTTTGACAGATTATCACCAATGTAGGATTATCTTTGGTGTTGTATAATTAGTATTCGTTCTGCTGCACTGCACTTAGGCTACTTATGCTCTGATTGTGAACTCACACTTACTGTCGCACTTGCTCCCTATCTCATCTAGTACTCTGGTTGGTTTGGTTCTTATTTATTCGCAATTCCTATATTAATATTGCTTCCGCATTGTGTACATGGTTACGTCACCCTCATGTAGTCGCCAGCATGCCTCGATCTAAGTCGGGGTGTGTCACAAATAATGACAAATGCACATCTCAGAAATTTCTCAACTCTTTCTTCTCTCTCTCACATCCTCTCTCTCTCTCCCTAGTGAAAGTAGGCCACAATAAATTTAATTTTATCACAATCTAAAGAATCTTTGAACAAATTTTCTTTGTTAACTAAAAGAGAGCAAAAATGTCAAAATTTTAACAACCAAAATAATATAAACTAACCAAAATAAAAATTATGAGCAATATAGTAAACTAAACACAAAACAAAATTTCTTAAGCCTCACAACTAGTAACCATATCAGTTTTGCCATGCTTTTTTTCAAGAAAAGAGAGAAAATCCTTCGACGTTAACATGGTAGATTTATTTTCCTTCAAAATGAGGTCATACCATATGTAACCCATAATTGCAATTTAGGTTGAAAGCCCCAAGTACCTGATCAAATACTATGACAATTGTTGGATGATAGCGACCAGGTGACAGAGAGACCTTAGCGGACATACCATATGTAACCCATAATTGCTATCGTGTACAGTCGAAAATACTTCTTCATGGCAGCCTAATGGCTCACATCACGTACATCAAACCATCTTCTTGAACACTCTTTGTTAGTCTAACCATATGCTCTTCGCAGAATAAAAGTTATGCAACTAACATGCAGGCAAGAATGTGACGTGAACCATTGGTTAACTCGGACAAGTATGCTTTGGCATTTTTGTTACATAGTGTGCAAAACTATTTGTGGATGAAGTGCTTTGCCATGTTCATTGTAGCTGTTGGCGTGAGTCAACCATTTAGTTTAGGAATGTAATCCTATAATTTATTCTTTGTATAATTGGGATTCTTATTTCCCGTTATGTGGGATATTGAACAACTATATATTTACCTCCTAGAGAGAAGAATAAACTTACAATTCAAACCCTAAACATTTTTATCTTGGCATCAGAACAGGTTTCAGCCTGTCTCTTTCCCCTAACCTTTTACCCTAGCTACTTGTCCCTTAAAAAAAAAAATAAACCTAGAAACCAAAATTACAAAACCCCAGCATGGTCTCAAAGCAAGAGAACCACCCACTGAAAAAACCTAGAAATCTAAATCACAAATAGACCATTACTTCCATGGCCAACAAGCACCAAGGCATGATTCCTTGTGGCAGTGATCTCCAGCGGGCTGGGCTTGTAGAGCCTAGAGCCCAATGTCCAACAATGCATCAATCAAGCACGGACAGAAGCAACAAATTCAGTGTGATTCCAACTGAGCAGCAATTCGTTGCGTACAGGAACAACCATGTGGGCATACCGAGCCCATCAGGAGACAGCCTTCTGGAAAACAGTTTGGACCCAGATAGTATGGGCTAGCAACTTTCATTATTGAATTTGATTTCGTCCTAAAAACAATTCAATAATCCAAGTAAAATTGGCACTGCATTCACAGCATCCGCTAACCGAGATTATGGCTGGATAATTGACTATGGGATTATAGACCATATGACATATGATGAATCCTTGTTTCACTACTTAACCATGCCACCCAAGGAGAATGTTATCACAGCAAAAGGTGAAATTGCTCTAGTTACATGAGGGTTCCATCGCCCTTACTCCCTCTCTATCTCTGCATAACACTCTTCTTGTTCCTTCACTATCGAATCATTTACTTTCTGTTGGTCAAGTTAAGGAACAATTAGATTGTATTGTACTCATTTTTCCCATTCTTTGCCTACTACAGGATATCCAAACACGGGCAATCATTGGGCGTGGTACTAAGAGGAGAGGGTTATATTATGTGGATGATGTGGTATTGGGCCGAGTCAACCAAGTGAGCAGTGGTCACAACAACAAGGTTAAGAGAATCTGGTTATGGCATCGTCGACTAGGACATACATCTTTTGGTTATTTAAGAAAATTACTTCTGTCTTTATTTAATGGCGTTTCAGACTCTGATTTTCAGTGTCAAGATTGCATTCTTGCAAAAAGTCATTGTACTTCTTACCACTTGAGTCTCAATAAAAATCAGTTCCCTTTGAGTTAATTCACTCAAATCCCTCACCAATAGCGACGTACCACGGTATTCGGTGGTTTGTTACCTTTATAAATGATTGCACCAGAATGACTTGGCTCTATACCATGAAACAGAATAGTGACGTTGGGCAAATTTTCCAACAATTTTATCGAATGATTGGAAATCAATTTTCCCTTCCTATCAAAGTTTTGAGATTTGATAATGGTGGAGAATATTTTTAATTCTGAACTATCACAATTTTTCACAGAGGGTGGCATACTTCATGAGATTACTTGTCTTTAAACTCCTTAACAAAATGGTGTGGCAGAACGTAAGAACAGACATATCTTCGAAACTACACGGGCTCTTCTAATTAGGGCTCATGCTCCTCATGCCTATTAGGCGGATGCAGTTACATATTCCATTTATCTTCTTAATCGAATGCCCTCTCGAGTTCACAACTTCCGAACTCCCATGGAAGTCTTGACAGATTATGTCATTCTACCATCTTCTTTTTAATTATCACCTCGCATATTTGGATGTGTGGTATATGTGCATCTTCACAAGAATCAACGGAGTCAATTGGATTCGTGTGATGTTCGTTGTGTATTTCTAGGATTTAATTGCCAACAAAAGGGATATCGATGTTGCCATCCACCTACTAAACATTTCATATCACCATGGATGTCACGTTTTACGAAACCGAGATGTTTTTCATTTCTGATAAAGCCTACTGTACTCTTCAAGGGGAGCTGAATAGTAAATACGAAGACTACAGTTGGTTTGATGTTCCACATGAACGAGACAGTTGGCATGGTCCCAGCAGTACAGGTGAGACCGAGATTGAAGACTTAGGTGTTATGAGCAACCCACATGACTGCGTCTTACCAGAGGATCGCGACACATCAATTCAAAGCCTAACAGTAGGCCACGACATAGCAGTTTAGAACCTGGTAGTGGCCAACAACATAACAAGCCAAAGCTCAGTGGATCTTGACTGTGAAGCCCTTAACCGAGAGATAGCTCATGCAACATCGAATAGTAGGCCTACACCATTTATAGATTCAGTAAAAGGTAATAGGTCTACGAGTGATACCGAGACTGTGTAAACAGAAAATAACCCTCATTCTCCTCCACTAGTACATGCTCATGTCCCTGTGGATATCCAGGAAGTACGTTCTCATACTCCAAATATTGTTGAAAATTCTTATATTTTACCTTCTAGGCAAAATTGTGGGAAACCACCTGACTAGTTTTCTCCGAAAGGAAAAGTGAGATATGCAATTGCACAGTATGTGTCCACTCATCGACTATCACCCCAAGTACCAAGCCATGGTGAATCAAATAGTTGGGATTAAAATTCCAACAAAAGTGGAAGAGGCTTTGCGAGACCCCCGTTGGGTAGAAGCCATGGGAGTAGAAATGGAAGCCTTACAAAGAAACGGAACGTGGAATGTAGTGTCACTACCACAAGGGAAGAGACCAATGGGATGTAAATGGGTGTTCACCATAAAGCACAAGGCGGATGGATCCATTGATAGATACAAGGCAATATTGGTAGCTAAAGGGTACACACAGACATTTGGAGTTGACTACCAAGAAACATTTGCTCCGATCGCAAAAATGAATGCTATTCGAGTCCTTTTTTCTTTAGTAGCTAACTTGGACTGGTCTTTGAAACAATTTGATGTGAAGATTGCTTTCTTACATGGAGATCTAGAAGAAAAAGTATACATGGATCTTCCACCAGGATATGAAACACTGAATGAAGCAAGGAAAATATGTAGACTCTGAAAGGCTCTCTATGGACTCAAACAATCACCCAGAGCATGGTTTAGAAGGTTCACTGAAGCAATAAAAAAGTACGGCTATAGACAGGGAAATGCGGACCACACCCTATTCATCAAACGCATGGGAGGTAAAGTTACTTTGTTAATTATCTATGTGAATGATATGGTAGTTACTGGTGATGACACAGAAGAGATAAAAAGGATGTAGGGGTATCTTTCATCAAAATTTGAGATGAAGGATCTAGGAGGCTTGAAATACTTCTTGGGCATTGAAGTTTCTCGTTCTCGTGATGGTATTTACTTGTCTCAGCAGAAGTATGTTCTTGATCTTCTCTCTGAAACTGGAATGTTGGCTTGTAAACTAGTTGAAATTCCCATTGTGCAAAATCATCACCTGGCGATATACCAGCTAATAAGGAATAAGTAGTGCTGTTTCAAGTGTTGTATACATAATAAAAAGTTGGATAGTGAATGCTTTTTATGAGCATATACAATACTTGTTTCCTTCTTATATTGGCTTAGGCTTAGCATTGGAATTAGCTGGAGCTAGACTTAGTTGTCTAACTTGATTTGTTATGTAAAACATGATTAACACATGTGCTTAGAAGGAATTTGACTACTCTTCATATTGCTAATTGGTTTCACTCCTTGTCATTCCATTAGTATTTAGAACATGCTTATTCCACTTTTATCCATACACCTATGAAGTCATATTCATTCAATGCCAAAGTCATGGATTAGCCCAAGTGGTGAAAGACGGTGGATAATAAGTTAGGATTAAAACAGGTCAAACGTTCAATTTCCTCGAATTTAACTCAAGTGTTGCGAGTCCACTCTTATTGTTGACATATATTTATTCCCTTATGTAAAGGTTCAACTACTGTACTTGGATAACCTGTTTTTCTTAATTTCATTTTCAAGCCAAAAAAACCTAATTTCAACATAACGAAATTTTGCCAAAAATAGTCTCAAACGTTGTTATGAGCCACATTCGGAAAAGAGAGATTTTCTTTGAAATCGAAAACGAGAAAATTATACACTGTTAAAAAGTCCAAAAACCAGTTATAAAGGAGAAAACTTGTAGCATAAAAGAATGGAGATTATTATCATCTACATCAATGATACAACAAACCCACTTCTCTATGTGATATGTGACCAACAACCAATTCACCCCTATAACCAATATTCATATTTTCCCTACAAATAGGATAATCCAACAACTTCACCTCCTGAGTTTGGAGCAGTTTCAACCACTCCATGTGAAAATCTCCCCTATATCAAGACTAACACTTGTTCCCAAATCATCGTACTTTAGCACAAAAATTCAGCAATCGATTCTAAATCTAGCAGATACCAAATTTTAGGATGTTCAAGCTGGCATTTTTCATCTATTTTCATCATATTGCTGATTGCAAATATGCACGCAGCAATACTACTTGTGGCTACAGTTGAACCTGCAGCTGTTGTTAGTGAACCAGTTTTGGAAATATACATGCATGACAATCTTAGAGGCAATAGCCCCATGGCTAGGCCAATCATTGGGTTGCTTGGCAACATATACAGCGGTCAAGTTCCCTTTGCAAAGTCGATAGGGCTCCTTCCTCCAAATGATAGGGTGGCTATCCCTAATGCCAACAGTGCCATTTCAACTGTGAATGGGGCCAATGGTCTCCCACTAAGAACTGGCTTATTTGGTACATCTTTCACTGGAGACCCTAATGGCTAAAAGAATGTCAATACGGCTACCCAACTAGCACCAGACAGGTGAGGACAGTATCAGTGTTGTTGGAGTGGGCCCATGGCCCGTCTACCTGAAAATTAAGATGGTATCAAAGCCAAGAGACGGGCCCGTACTGCCACATGAACGGGGTGGGTCCCCTTTGACCCCGTGTGAATGCCCCGACTTGGCTCCACGTAGGCCAAGAGATGCCAAGTGAATAAGTGGGTCCTCATTGGCCCTGCGCGAATAGGTCAGCTTCGGCTTGGCTCTAAGTGGTTGTCGATATGTGGAATTTCACATGTGACCCATAAAATGGAGTCTCACGTGCGGGGAAGTGTTAGAATTTCTCTGTCCCACATCGGCCAGAAGGCTTGAGAATAAGCCATTTAAATAGAATTACCCCACTCTAACTAACACCGAGGCCTTTTGTATTAAAACTCCACACCTGATGGATTGAGTAGATGACCAAGTAGGGACAGTATCGGTATTGTTGGAGTGAGCCCATGACCCGTCTACTTGAAATTTAAGACTAATATCTTTTAATAGCTCTCAACATAAATGTGAGGAATCGAGACGATAAAGAATCACATGATCCATACTCTCCTAATCTTCATTTTTCATATCACGAGAACTCTCTCGTATTAAATTAAACCTGCAATTTATTTCCCTAATCATTAATTAGGTTTATTTTTCCAATTCAGTGGCTTCACTTCTTCATTAATTCTTAGGTTAATAGACAACATGCAATCAACTTAGCTCTAAACTAAGCTTTGGGATTGGAAACACATGTCATTGTCCTCAAGGGTGATTTCAAAGAGATGATGACACTAAGCATGAAGAAACTCTCTAATATAAACATCCGAAAAAGTTAGTCTCCCTATTGATATTACAAAACAAGAAAACTACAACCTAGTTCGGTTTGGTTTAAAACACTTTACAAGAAAATGCTTCAACTACTATAGTATACTAAATGGTTGAGGAACTCTACTTCCAAGAATAAAGAAGCATTTGTTAATCGTCATTCATGTAATTGCTTAATATGTGTGAAATCTAAACAAAAATAGGTCTAATAGTAATCAACATACCATGCATGCATCTGATAACTAAAGAAAAATCATGATCTCAATAACTCACAAATTCAACAATGAAAGGCAGAAAACGAAGAACAAGAGAGAGAATGAGAATCTTAGAGAGTAAGTTGTATTTCACTGTAATGAATGCTTACAAATACAAGTGGTTATCCAACTATATATAGATTTAAAATTACAGCTGTTATATTTAGAAAACTTAACAACTAAGCTAACCAAATGTTGAGGTGTACAACTTAACCAAATGTTGAGGTGTATATTCTGTTAATACTCCCCCTCAATCTTAGCTGGGATGTCCCAGCCTGAGATTGGAACAATGACGAACAAACAGAGGACTGTGTAACCTTTTTGTTAAAACATCTGCAACCTGAGCTTCTGTAGGAATGTATTGAACCTCCATATCTCATTTTTGCACTATTTCATGAAGAAAATGAAAATCAGTGTCTAAGTGTTTAATCCGAGTGTGAAACACTGGATGAGAACACAATGCTAATGTGGAAAGATTATCACAATGCAATAAAGAAGTAGAAGGAACAAACATATGAAGATCCTTAATAACCAATCGAATCCAAGCAATGTCAACAACTGTATTTGCAAAGGCTTTATATTCAACCTCTGATGAACTTTGAGACACACTTCCTTGCTTCTTGGATGACTAAGAAATGGGATTAGTTCCTAGAAAAACAACATATCTAGTTGTTGACCTTCTAGTATTTATGTTAGCTGCCCAGTCAGCATCACTACAGGCAAGCAATTCCAATTTGGCAGCAAGATAATAAATAATCCCACAAGTCAAGGTACCCTTCAAATATATGAGTATGAGCTTCACTAAACAGAAATGAGCTTCAATAAGAGTGTTCATAAATTGATAAGCATAATTGACTGCATATGCAATATCTAGCCTAGTAAATGTCAGATATTGCAAAGCACCAACCAAACTTCTATAAAATGTGGGATCAATTAATGGTTCTCCTTCATCCTTCAATAACTGTGTATGAGGTTTACTAGGAGTAGAACAAGGTCAACAATGCACCATACTTGCCTTATTAAGAAGATCGGAACTAGGTCTACAATGCTCCATACCTACCTTATTAAGAGGATCAATGACATACTTACTGATTAAGAAAAATATCTCCATTTTCCCTGTAAGTAACTTGAAGTCCTAGAAAATAAGTAAGTTTTCTCATGTTCTTCATGTCAAACACAGAGGCTAAATCATCAATTACTTGCTACACTAACTTGGAACATGAACCAGTAATAATAATGTCATTGACATATAAAAGAAGACTCACTACATCACTACCACCGAACTTTACAAATAAGCTTGGGTCTGAGTGAGAAGACTGAAACTCCAAAGTAGGAAGATAACTAGTAAACTTTGCATTCTAGGCTCGTGGTGCCTATTTCAGACCACATAAAGACTTGAGAAGCTTGCACACATGATTAGGATATCTGGGATCTTGAAAATCTTGAGGATGTTTCATAAACACCTATTCTTGTAATTCACCATGCAAAAAGGCATTTTTTTACATCTAATTGCCTTAATTCCCATTTATTCATAGCAACAAGAGATAAAACAAGTCTTACTGTAGTATGCCGAACAACTGGACTAAAAGTTTCTTCATAGTCCAAGCCTTGTTCTTAACTATACTCTTGTGCAACAAGTCGAGACTTGTACCTAGAAATCTTCCCTTCTTGATTTTTTTTAATTTTATACACTCATTTGCTGCCTATAACATTTCTATTTTCTAGATAAGGTACAAACTCCCAATTACCTTGTTTTTTAAGAGCATTGAACTCTTCTGTCATAACATTTCTCTAGAGCTTAGATAAAACTACTTGTTTTATAATGAGAAGGCTCAGAAGAATCATGAATGTCTAACACATATGTGAGACCACAAAATACTACATCATCAGTATGTGAAGGAGAAGATAACTGTATATTAGGTAAAGATGCATGATAAGCTACATAATTCCTTCTTTGTATTGCACCACTTTTCAACATTGTAACCATATTACGTTCGGAAGAAACATATACTGCAGTACTAGGCATAGCAGTTGTTGACACATCATGTTCATTTTCTGAATGAGTTAGTTGAGTATCAAACTAAGCAGAAGTATGAGATAGCTCTAGAGAATAAGATACCTGAGTTTGGGAATGAGCATGGACATGTAACATGTGAGATGAAGAATGAATTGATAGTGGAGTAGTAGCTTGTGCTAAGATACTATCTAAACTGGCAAAAACACTAGAACTTGGAGAAGATAAAGATGGCACTTCCATATTCTGACCACACACTTGATTCACTGAAAACTGCTCCTCAAATTCATCGAATGCCTTGGTAAGACAATAAGCATTATTTTAGTTGATAATCTCTGGGAATCAAAATCAACTAGAGAAGAACTAGATGAACTGATGGATGGAGAACAAGGAACTTTAAAAGGAAATCTACTTTCATCATGTATCACTTGCCTAGATAACACCAAATTCATTATAGTCTTATTGTAACACAACACCCCTTTATAACCAACTAAGTATCCTAAAAATACACATTCATCACTTCTAGCTTGCAACTTATTAGCACTACAAGGTCTTAAGTAAGGATAGACAGTGGTACCAAAAACCTTAAGATTTGCTAAAGAAGGAGACTGTCCAAACAACTTAGCATAAGGAGATGATTTTAGCATGACATTCTATTGATTAGAAACACAGCATGACTACAAGCATGGTACCAAAATTGCTGAGGTAAAGAAGTAGCACTAAGCAAAGTCACAACAATCTCAATAATATGCTTCTTCTTCCTTTTTGATAACCTATTTTGATAGGGTGTATATGGACATGAAACAAGGTGCAAAATACCATGTAAACATAGAAATTTCTTAAATAAATCACTCATATATTCACCTCCTTTATTTGATTGTAAAGACTTAATGGTTGTCTTAAATTAATTCTCAATAAGAGCATGAAATTTAAGAAACACAACATATACATCATATTTATTCACAAGTGGGAAAATCCAAGTAAACCTAGTGCATTCATCAACAAAGATTACATAGTAATTGTAACCTTCAACAAAGATAGTGGGTGAAGGTCCCCATTCATCAATATGTACTTTTTCAAATGAAATAGTTGACTTAGTACTACTAGAAGTAAATGGAAGTCTAAACATTTTGCCCCTAATACATGTTGAGCATATATGTGGATGTACATCTAAACAAGCCGAAATAGCAGAATCCTTAAGCATTTTGGATTGAACCTCATTAGTTGGATGACCAAACCTATGATGCCAAATAGAAGTCTTCACAAGCTGTGACACACCCGACCCTAATATCCTTCAAACACCAGGGCAGGCACGTGCTGACCGACACCCGAAGATGATGAAGCCATATTAAAATGCATGAGAACTAGAAAGAAATAACTAACATAAATAAAACTTTTAAATTTAATTTTAATGAATATGCAATTGTGGAACGTGTTCAGAGCATACAACTAATCTGAGACACTAAATAGGAATAATATATATTATGCTCATATATCTTTAACTCAAATTATAATATGCACATAACTATATTACAAGGATGAATAACTCTTTTTAGTGTATCAAATACTTTATGGTTTTGTTTGGTATAGAGATCGGTCTGTAATGGATAAGTCACTATTTTAAAACATATGTTGAAATAAAAAATGAAAATTACCGCCAACTTAGAGTTAGAAGATTGAGTACTCAATAAGAAAGGCTTCTATCCGTAGGAGAAAGGCTTCTATCCGGCAATTGGACTATTGCCAAGAGAGGAGGGTGAAACCAAAGAGTGAAGTTCAGTGAGCTTATGTGATTTTTTTGTGTCTGTTTGTTACATTGTAGAAGTGGTCTGGATTTCGGACCCAACTAGCCAATCGAATCATCTATACCAAACAAGATCTTAAATATGATGTCACATTGTAAATTGAATAACAATTAATTAAGGGAATTTTCACGAAAAACTCCTAATACTGTTCATTTTAACGAAAAATCATATTTTTACACTAAAAAGTCAATCATGGTACTATTCATTTTACCTTTTGTTTTGCTTAAAACTCAAAATTTTCAATCACTTTTCATTCATTTTTCTTTAATTAAAGGTGTAAAATGTAATTAACCCAGAACTAAATTAGGTGCAATTGTGAATTTCAAAGAAAATAAAGAAAGAAGGTAGGCAGAGAGAATCGAATCAAAACCTCACTGTCATCAGATCGTACATCCGCCACTATCACAGTACCCAGCAATGCAAAACTCCACCCATTCCCCATCGCCACCGCCACCAACACCGTCTCCATTTCTCTCCTCCACACCCACCGCCGCCGCCGCCACCATCCCCATTCTCTCAATCAAAGACCCCAAAGCCCTCCTCTCAATCATCCTAGTCTCTTCCCTTTTCGCCCTCCTCCTCTTCCTCTCCTCCTCCTCCTCATCATCATTATCCTCCTCCGCCGCCCTCATTCATTCTCGACCCGACCCATTTCTCTTCCCCAACCAGCAAGCCCACCGCATCATTTACCACGACAACAACTCCTCAGATCCCACGCCCCCCTCCATCGCCTACCTCTTGTCAGGGTCAAAAGGCGACTTGGGTCGGATCCTGAGGCTCCTCTACGCCGCTTACCACCCCAGGAACCAGTACCTCCTCCACCTTGACCGGTCCGCTTCCGATTCCGAGCGGGAAAAGTTGGCTCTGAGAGTCCAATCACTGCCCATTTTCAGAGCTGCCCAGAATGTCCATGTCATTGGTAAGGCTGATTTTGTGTACCCAACTGGGTCTTCTGCTATCTCTTTTACGCTCCATGGCGCCTCGATACTTATGCGTCTGTCGCCAAATTGGGATTGGTTTATCAGCCTCAGTGTTCGTGATTACCCACTAATCACACAGGATGGTACGACGCTTTCAATCCTTGGCATTTTAATTAACATTTCTGATTTTTGTTTTTTAAATTTTTATTTTTTGTATGATTTTTTATATGGGGTTTTCTTGGTCCTGTAGATCTTCTTCACATTATGTCGTTCTTGCCTAAAGATCTCAACTTTGTGAACCATTCAAGTTATATCGGCTGGAGAGAGTACGACCATTTGCCGTTTCTAGTGTATTGATTTCGAGTTCTATGTTATTGTTACTCTTAATTTTTTTGGTGGATGCTGTAAGTGAAATGTAAGGTTTCTATTTGTTTTTTGCTACAGGTCTAGGAGATTAAGACCGATAATTGTTGATCCGGGGCTTTATCTTTCGGAGAAAACTGACATGTTCTATGCTACACAGAAAAGGGTGTTGCCTAATGCTTACCGGTTGTTCTCGGGTACATTTTTTTTATACTTTTTGTTGACTAATTTTTGCTTAAATTCATTCCGGTATTTCACTTATCAGAGCAGAAATTGTAAGGTTAAAAGCGTGATTGCCTGTAAGTTAGTTTGAGCTATAATTGCATGCAGTGTGTGTTGTCTAGGAACCGAACGAATATCAATAGTCTATCTAGGTAAGCCTTGCAAAAAGTTGACTAAGATTTATTCATCTACTGCACTTCCATTAGTTAGTATTATAATTTTAAAGTGGTGGGAGCTTGTAGAATTGTATGATTAGGCTAGATCAACAGTGGCTAGATCAGCAGTCCCACTGCTGGGTTCTCATGTATCCTTATGTAGTTAAACAAGGATTACCATGTCAGTTAATGTTGGTTGACTTGATAACTAATAGTTTTAGAACAATAACAATGTCGTTTTTTCTGGAGGATGGGGCTCTTCAAGCGGTTATTGGATTGAAGCAATCATTCCCTTGAGCCTAAAGGGTTCATCGGTTCTGCTTGCATTTCTAGAGATGAAGACAAAGCCAAAAGGAAACAGCCTTCCGGTTTGTTTTATCACTGTCATTGGTGTCAAGAATGTTGAGGGAATACGTTGTGGACCTATGGTTTTGGTGGTTTAGGATAAAAACTAATCTTGGTAATAAAAGAACCAAATTCTGGAACATCAATCTAGTGGTCGATCCTTTGGTTTGGAGGTGGAGAACCTAAAGATGAATAGAGAGGACCTCCTATGCTGTATATGAAACCCTGCAATTTCCACTCCAACAAAGTGGGTTTGAGTTCCCAAACAACTTTGTGTTTTAACTTTGAGTTCCGAACTTATTACTGGTTACCGACAAACATAGTGTTGGTTTGCCATCCATAGCGTCAACTGCAGAAATGTATAAGGAAGAATCCAGTTTTGCCTTTTAGTTATCAAGCATCGAGTTAGTGACCAGGTCTCTATCTCTTTCTCACACACACATCTCTACGTTTATCTTTGTAAAAAAAATGCAAGTTTGCAACATAGAAAGAGCTACTTATGAAGCCTGATGATGTAATATGCAAGATTCATAAATTTAACTTTCGAGTTTTGTCACAAAGCGACGGTCCATATAAGTTAATATCATCTTTATACCTGGGTTAAACTTGGATAGATTCAAGAGTAATTGAATATACAGCAATGGATACAGTTTCCATTTATTCACCTATAACTCTAATAGGATTTGGGACTGAGACCATGGAACAACTGATATGTACCAGTTATTACTCCCGCGATGCCCTTAAGCCATCCTGAAAGCACAATACTTCGGAGATATACTGTAATGATAATTCATTCTTAACTGTTTGATTACCACTATCATGTAAAACTAAAGAATTTTATCTCTTTTCTGTATGAGATGGGGATCATTTTGGAAACTGAGTAGTAGCACTTTATGACAGGAGTAATAGCACTTTATTGTAGGACAAATAATAAAATTGTCAACATAACTCGTTTGATAATTTTTTCTGCAGGTTCTTCTTTTACGATTCTGAGTCGCAATTTCATTGAATTTTGTGTTGTTGGTATTGATAACCTGCCAAGGACTTTGTTGATGTACTTCTCAAACACACCTTCTGCTCTTTCGAATTACTTCCCTACCATTCTTTGCAACTCCCAGCAGTTCAATAAGACTATCATAAACCATAACTTAGTATATGCTAATTCCGAGACACCCCCTAGAGAGAAGCCCCAGCCAATCAGTTCCGCTGATTATGATGCTATGATTCAGCATGGAGCTGCCTTTGTCACTGGACTCCGGGTAGATGATCCGATTCTTGACCGGGTGGATAGAGAAATTTTAAAACGCAGGCGAGGAAAAGTTGTTCCTGGCGGCTGGTGTTTAGGTGGGTTTGCAAACGACACTTGTTCGGTCTGGGGGGATGCTGATATTTTGAGGCCTAGTCCACAAGCAAGAAGACTTGAGCAACTTTTAGTCGGATTGCTCTCAAATGGCACATTCCTGTCTCATCAATGTATATACGAGTGACCTGGATCATCAGTCCCACGAGAGATGGAGAGAAACGGATAATGTAAGTTGCCCGCCCCTTCAGCATTTGGAAATTTTGGAAGAAGAGTAACTGCTACGGGGTGATTCTTTTAGCGGCGCTAGGCTCAGTTAAATCGTGATTATTGTAAAATGTATTACAAATCATTGTGCTATGAGTCATGTCCCTGTTGTACAAGTGACGTTTGCCTCCATTCTCTGAAAGTAAAGTAGTTTGTGTTTCTTTTTAACTCTCAAGATTACGTTCTTTGCTGGAAGTCAATTGCTTCTTGGAAAAGCACATGGAATTGCTTCTTGAAGGAGTCTCTGTTAGGTACTTCTCCAGAAAGCAATAAAAAGTGTTTTTGGTATCCTTAACTCTGTCACTAAACACAACTACAAGACACTAACAGCATCCATAACACCGCTAACATTGCGAGTCAAGAGTGTTTAAGACCGTTAACTTTGTCATTCAATTTCTAATGATGGCCTTCACAGGAATTGGAGGAACATTATAGAACAAAGAATCCAGAGCAGCCACTGAGGAGATGCTGAACATCTGCCACTGACCTCTGCCAAACTTGTAAACATTTCACTACGAAACCTTTCGGATACGAATTACGTTACCTGCAAGGATACAAGCAATGCGAATACTCCACTAACACATCCGCAGCTCTTCTATTTCCCTCCAATCACTATTCCACGGCCGTCTCATGTGCATCGATGTTTTCTCTTTATGCACTGATGTATCTCTCTCTCTCTCTCTCTCTCTCTCTCGCTTGCGAGAATTTTCAGAAAACTCCGAAAAATGTGGCTACTGCAAAAACTAGGAACAACCCACCTCCCACGTAGCCAACCTGATTGAAAGATACAGTGAGTTTGCAGCCTTGTGACACAGCATCAAACAACAAAGTTTTCAATCTTACTAATATCACGGAGAGTTGTGGATCTTACCAGTTTTTCGGAAATGTAGTTGGCAAGAAATGCCCCTCCTAGAACAGCAATAGATGTCGCAAGTACGTGTCCAGCAATGGCTCCACTTGCCACGCCCCATGGAGACTGTATTTAAGAAGTGTTGGAGGAAACTATCACCAAGATTAGTAGACCGTGGAAGAAAGATTTTCATGTGACTGAAATTGAACAAGGTTTCACCTGCGCAGCACCGAGAGCGATCGTGGCGAGCATTGAGCGATCTCCCCATTCCTAGAAGCAAAAACAATGTAGTCAGGTTTGAAATCTGTTCTGATGACACAGTGGCAATATTAAGCTTCATCCCTTTTATTGCAAATGAAGGCACCGACATTCGCATTGATATGCGGTTGATGGTTAAAAAAACACGACAAGGTAGGAGAACAAAGATTTCCATGATGTCTGGCATTTCTGGGAAAATTGGTAGCTAAGCAGACATTAGATGTGCATGTAAAGATGTTGTTGCAGATAAGTGAAATATGCTTACGGCAACGAATACAAGGGTGAACGATTTCCAGACAATTTCAAGTGGATTAGTGAGCCGCTTTGACACCTGAGAAAGTACAAAACAAAAAGGTGCATAAGAACAGAATCTTCTAAAATGGATATGGAAAAATATACGACAGCAGAGAGTCTACCTTCTCTTTCACAAGCTCCTCGGCCTCGGTATATTCACCGAGCTCAGGGCTGCTCTTATCACCACTCTTCACATCACTTGATGGAAGGTCCCATGCATCCTTTATTGATTTGAGACCGAAGAATAGTAGAAGAGTTACTGCTGCATATTCTCCAATTGGCAAGGCTGTTGACATGACCACAAAACAACAAAAACATGAGGAGATTTAAGATAAATTGTGGTTATAGATTATTCCATCAGACCATCACAGACTGTATCTCAAAATTCATCGAGATTTAAGCACCGGTATTGACATGTGCGAAAAACAGCCAACTATGTGAGGAGTTTGTAATGGAAATTTACAAGTAACTATCTCATATCATACAGTAACATCCAATCACATACAACTCCAACTCCATATAATTGCATTACTACTCATTAATGAATTTACAAATGCAACACTACGTCGAGAGAGGTGAGAAGTTTATCTTAAAATTCAAATTCTTCAAACAAAACTTATAGGCACCCATGACGGTTTGACATTGGCTTTGATGCACCATATTCAGAAATTAGGTTTCTCTGATTTGGCGGTTTTCCGGCAGAATTTAGGATGGGAAATAGGATTGATAGAGATCAAACGAATATTTCAACCTGTTTCCTGAACATGCAATCAATTATGAAAATATGTCCTGGACGAAAAATACTAAGAATTACAACTTACTTGTCTGGAATTGAGCAGGGACCGAGTTAAATATTCGCCCAATAATGACAGACAGGACTGTCATAAGTGAAAGAGCACCAGTTGACCCCAACAGAACCTGTTCAATATCTTAGTGGATAAGGTGTTGGGTTTCAACCCATGCCTCCCAGGTTTGAAACTCCCGCCTCCCCTAAAAGAACAAATCAAACTTAATAGATAGAAAGTAAAACTTTAGAGAAGATAGAAAAACTCATACCAGTACTTTATCATATTGCATGGCTAGGAGTGCAGCAATGAAGAATGTCTGGTCAATAGACAGAGTATAACTTTAGGTCCAGTTTCTTCTAGTAGCATACATATGATTTGAAAAAAAATTACGGAGAGTTTCGTGTCTTGAGAAGTAGCTTTATGACATTGATTTCAGGTTCAACAGTTTAATTGTTTAACCCATCATAGTATATCTAATCTTAGTTAACACAATAATAAAAAATTATTGACGATCAACTAGTAAAAATTTAAAGAGACTTGCTCAAAATAACAAAATAGAAACTATTATTTTCTTAACCCCATTACCCAGCTCAGTAGGTTTAGTTACATGGATCTTTTGCCCCGTGGCACATTACTAAAGGTTACCATTCTGCTCTACTTAGTAACATATCTTGGAAACGCAGACACTTATTTACATGTAAAATACACGGCATCTATGCCACTTTTTGACATAAATATGGACAGAAAACAGAAGCAGAAGGGGAAAAATTAGTTACCTTGTCACCAATTTCAGAAACAAATATTAAAGAAAATGCAGCTGTAAAGCCTGATTTTGCAATTGCTGCTAAAAGTGCTGAAGGTCCTCCTTTCACAAAGGCAATCAGAGCAAAAACTAAGGCGCACCCAAGTGGCACAAGACCCACAGAGAGGGGATAAGGGATTTGAACTGGATGCTTCTCACTGCCAAATCATGAAATATTAGTATCGTTCAGGTGACGGTTAGCAGTTTAACATCCAATAATTCAAAGTAATGTAATACATGGACTATAACTCACATTTCAGATGAACTGTCACTGGGTGCATCACTTGGAAATATTTTCTTGTTTTTGTTTTCCTCACTGTCTTCATATCCTCCAGATCCGATACTAACATTAGATGCTTGGACTCGTACGTTTCTGCCAGCACACCTTGATATCACTCTACATCTCACTATAAATACGTTAGCCAGAGTATTGCTTAGAACATGCTATAAACACGCAAAAGATTAGAGTTCATGGATCAAATAAAAAAGGTAGACAGTATACCCTTCACAAGCAACTAAAATCACCACCTCGGAAAGTAGACAGTATGATGTATTCAAGCAAAACAACAATGTATTCCTTAAACAATTTCGAACCAGTCATAATTTGTTACTGGGTAGGCTGTAGGTACCCCGAACAACTGTTGCCATGAAAATGCAGCTTGCAATTAACCATTTGGAATGAGTCACATATTTCGTTTTATCCTAACAGAAGCAGTTCATGTCCTCAGTCCACTACCACAGTACCAGTGTACCACCACTACCAAAGTAACCGCCTCCCTGAACCGAACTCTCACATTCAAACAATACTGAAAACGGATAAACTTACTATGATTCTCCTAACCCAGGATCAATTCACAAGGTCAACAACCCACCCAGACAGCCATTGAATCTTGCAGTTGCCTATAATTTATCAAAACCATCATACCCCAACTTCCAACCAACACAACTAGCAATTAGCCAAATTCTATGCAAAGCAATGTAAATTCGAAAAACCAATTAACCAACATGCAATAACTTTAGCTTTAATTACAGTGAGAGTAAATATTAAAACTTGAAAATTTGACGTAGTTATAGCAAGAGAGCAACAAAAAGAAGGATAAGAACTTACACGATGGTTTTCTGGAAAGAGTGGGACAGCTTGGAAGAGCGTCCGTAAAAGCTGACAAGGGAAGCTTCTTGCTTGGATTGAATGGCATTGGTGTATTGAGAATCCCCAGTCCTTGCATTCTTTCTTCTTTTGCTGTAAGACTTTTTTATTACAGTTTTTTCATCTCCTTTCTTTCTCTGCAAGTGCAGATTAAACCCAAAAGAAAGACTCGTTTTTTATGAGTTGAGTTTTGGGATTTGGTAGGATTGAGCAGGGGAACCGTTACCCAGTTAAGCAAGTTATCGTTTCAGAGTTTCCAAAAAGTTCCAACTGCACTTCTGAGGGTGGGGATTTTGTAGCCTGCCACGTGTCCGTTGTGGGTGAGATAAAATGGAAGGGGTGCAACTTTGTAATGTGAATTCCACACGACAATAGATTGGTTAGAGTTTGCAGGGCCCCGGGCTATTACAGAAGATCAAGGGTTTTTGTTATGGAAAGGGATCCTCTCTCTAGATCATTTTCTCATAATCCACCAAATCAGGGGATCTATGCCGTTAAAATTTGATCCAGCGGTTGAAGTTATTATAACTTTTAAAGTGAACCCCTGTTTGTAACCGTTGAATTAAATTTCAACGGCACGGATTTTCTAATTTGGTGGATTAGGAGAAAGGGATTCGGAGAGGATCCCCTTCCATTTGTTATCCCTAATTTGGTGTTTTTCTTTAATATAACGGTATATTTAAAACCAAAAGGAAGGGGTGCTCGGCTAAGCCACATAATGGGGTAACCTAAGAGTATCTCCAATGGGGGCTTTATCCATAACGAGACTACCACATTTCAAGCCTTAGTGAGAAATTTCATCCCCATGAGCTGGAAAATAGGGCTAGATCAACCACTTGTCCTAGCAACTTCCTTTTTTGAGTAATATAAAATTGGGCTACATCTAGCCCCAAAAAACAATGGATCCCACCAAAAAAAAAAAGTAACAACTCATGTGAGCAAAATTCTATCACTGTCGCTCCACTTGCGAATACATTTATACTCTCCTTTAATTTTTTTTTAATTCTTTTTTGGCTAATTAATGATTGT